AGGGAGAGCAGGGAAGGGGAAGGCAGGCCAGTGGGTGATTATGAGCAACATACAATGACATACATTATAATAAAGCACTTTATATTGTATGCTAACTAAAAGTTGACTATAATAGAGCACTTTATATTGTATGCTAACTAAAAGTTGACTCTAATAGAGCACTTTATATTGTATGCTAACTAAAAGTTGACTATAATAGAGCACTTTATATTGTATGCTAACTAAAAGTTGACTATAAACACGGGAGATGGAAGGAAAGCTAGCCATGGTGGAGCATGCCTACAATTCCACACTGAGGAGACTGAAGCAGGAACACAGTGAGTTCAGGGCCAGCCAGGGCTATATGTGACGTCAGCCTGGAAGACCCTGTCTCCAAAGAATAGAACTAGAGACTTTTACACAGCAAATTGAGCTGTGAGGAGGAAGCTCTCACATTTGAGGTAGTGGGCTTGCCCCCTTCTGTCCTTGTCTATGTGAAGACAGTGTCCAGCCCTCTAGGGCACACAACAAAAACATACTGTCTTGGCAGCTGACACCAGACCTTGACCAGACACAGAACCTGCCAGAACCTTGACTTTGGACTTATAGCTTTGCAAACTGTGAATTCTTGGAAAATTTTATTGTCTATATCTACAAATTACCCAGCCTCAAGTACTCTGCTATAGTACCATAAACACTAAGAGTGACTCTGTCACACACACTATTTCAAGGCTATAGGAAATGATAACTAGCAGTATGATTGGAGAATTAAAATAACAAGACCTGAATCTTCCGAATACAGCAAATGTATAAGAAGGAAGGACCGTCTTGTTAGATGCACGGTACGCTTCTACCCTAAACCTGGTGAAGCAGCAAGGGGTGCAGCTCAGGTGAGATTGCAAGACACTGCCCCATATAACAAGGCTGGCCAAACACAACGAATTCCGTAACCCACCCAAGCAGCTTGGTACTGTTTCCTCCTCCCTCTACCCCACTTTGAAGGACTTTCCAAATCAGCCTCAGGGAATAAAGTCCTAATTTAATGCTTGATGTGGCTCAAAGAACTGAGCCAAAGCCAGTAATCTAAAATCCTGCCAAAGTCAATAAGGTAAATTCCTTGTGTACTTCCTGTATTTCAAGTTGACAAGGGGCTTTGTTCCGCTGTGTGAATGAAAGTTCCCAAGAAGATGTATCTATAAAGGCTGACTTACTGAACTCCAAGAGCGTGGAAGGTTAGAATCCTGCAGGTTCAGAGCCAAGTTATCTTAGGCCAGTATCTGTGGTGATATAATGTGTACTCCAATAAAGCTTACCTGGGGATCAGAGGACAGAGCCAGCCACTAAATTAGACACAGAGGTCAGGCAGTGGTGGCACACACCTTTAATCCTATTACTCGGGAGGCAGAGATCCATCTGGATCTCTGTGAGTTGAAGGCCACACTAGGCTGCATGAGAGAAAAAGAACCAGGCAGTGGTGACACATGCCTTTAATCCCAGGAAGTAATATGGCAGGACACAGAAAGGTATATAAGGTGTGAGGAAACAGGAACTTGTTCTCTTGAGGCTGAGGATTTCGTAGAGGTAAGCTAGTGGCTGGCTATTCTGCTTCTCTGATCTTTCAGCTTTCACCCCAGTATCTGGCACTGGATTTTTTATTATAAGACCTTTTAAGAGTCATGCTACATCTGGAACCCAACATGTGTGGCACAAATTCATGAAAAAGCCCCTTGCCCCAGCTCAGTCCTGAGCTGCACATGACCAGAGTCTCCATCCCATGTGGGTCAGATTCCCTAACCAGCTGGATCCAGATGGCTGGATTTTTTTATTTCTTCTCTCCTGGTTGTGGACTCTCCTCTGATCCCCAGGTAAGTTTATTAGGGTACACAATAAGTATCAGGCCCTGAACAGCCATTTATTACCTACCTCTATGTGACACATAACATTCTGTGAATGTTAATGTTAGGCAAATCTGCTCAGAGCCCATGCATTTGCAGAAGGAGGAAAAAACAAAGCAAAGCACAGCAGCTACACAACACTCCATGGTAGTTCCTTTCCATCATTCCACACAATGAATGCGAGAGGATAACGAGCAAAAGATATAGATTTCAGCCTGGTAATGAGCACAACTTATAGAACACTTAGACATTACTCAGCATAAAACAGGAAGGGAATTCAAAGATGAGAAAGTAAAGCAACAAGATGAGATGCTGAAAACCAGGAAAGTGAACCAAGGAAAGACTTAGCAATCACTACATAAGACAAAAGCACCAATGATCAGGAAGGACTAGAGGAAAATCGAACACAGGGCAAGGACTAGAGACTGAAAAAAAAAAAAAAATCTTATCGGGAGACCAGACACTCAACACACGAGGTCCTGAAGCAGAGGCTGTGATATAGCAGATGCATTGAAGACATATCCTAAATGAAGAATCAGACAACTGCAGCCCAGAAGAACATGCCCTCCAGGGACACCAGACATAGGCTCTCCACATCCAGACACATATCGTACCCAAGGACTCTTCAGTCATTCCTACATGAAGACAAAACACCTGCAGGGGAACGAAATCAGCCTGAAATCAATTCTCTCCAAGACAGGAAAAGGTTCTGAGGGAAACAGCATGGTCCAGGAAACTGTCTAGCAGCTAAGGCCAGAGCAGACACTCACAGCCATCAAATCGGGGATACGGGACTTAAGAGCACATGAACGAGAACTTGGGACTGCAGTCATGCTGAAGAGATGAATGGGAAGTGAAGGATGGAGAGGCCACGGTCAAAGGAGAGTTGGTGCCAACATTCTGACAGTGAACAGTGGTTAAGAAACAAACACTAAAACCCCATCATAACGTTCACAGGATGACTTATCGCTGTGAAGATGGGAAACACGGAGTAGCTTCCACTGTCCTCCTCATCCAGGGAATCAAGGTCACAGCTGTTCTCCAGAATTGAAAGGGGTTGCTAAGAACAGACAAACCCAGGATGACCCTAAATGTCATGTCCAAAAGGAGGGAGAACAGGATGACTCCTGGGACCGTCTCTGCAGGGCCAGGCCTGCTGTCCAGGAGAGCCATCTGGGCAGTTACTCAGCCATTCTATGCTTCACAACCCAGTCTAGTGACTCATTCACTCGCTTGTGCTACTGTCCGAAACTGAACAGATGTTTCTTGAGATGTTAGGATGCACCAGAACCATCTTGAGACATCTGTAAGCAGCAGCTCATCTGATCCTCACAAAAGCCCATGAAATGAGTGCTACTGTTTCTACATTTGACAGAGCAGGAAACCGAGGCAGAGAGAGGTTCCAGCACATGCCCCAGAGGTAATGAAATGAGGCTGAGCTCAGGCAGTCTGACTCCCAGCAACATCCTCAACCTGCCATACACCATCTGCCTTCGTACAGAAATTCACAAATTCACAAATACAGCTGCGTCAGGGCCAGTGAACTTCTGTCAGGACAAGTTCTCTTGCAAAGAGAGTCCATCACTATTTATTTACACCAAGACTTGTGATGGAATCTGCCAGTACCAAGTGAGTTGTTCATCCTCTGGAGAAAAGGCTTAATAACAAGTCTATAACAACATGAGCTGTGACGGCTGTGACAAAGCTTCAACTGAAGTGCAAAAGGTAAGCATGAGGTCAGCCCTGAAAACATATGCACACAAGTACCATTACATGGACTGAGCATATATATGTATCTAGGAAGACACACACACACACACACACACACACACACACACACACACACACACACACACCCCAAAGGGGCTGGGGAGGTAAGGAAATGGGGTAATGATATAATTATATTATAATCACAATAACATTTATACAAATAGTATAAAATAAAACGGAGAAAGAGTTTACACAGGAACAAACTGCCCATGTCTTTAAGGAGCAGACAGCCAAGCAGAAGCCGTCAGCAGACGTCCAAGGTAAAACAGTTCCACAAATGAAGAAACAGAGAAGTAAGAATTGTAAAGAAAAAAAAGCAGTGTCCACTGAAGGAAATTGGTTTTTATCTTTCCTCATCCTGAGCCACTACTACAGCTAGATAGATTACCTCAGAAAACACTGTGGTAAATAAAGTGGTATTTGCTTAACACTCAATTTTATATTACTTAAAAATTTCCCAATAATAATGCACATATGAGTTTCTCTCCCTTAAAGCAGAGGAGATCAGGAAAGAGTGCCCATCCTCATAGTGCCAGCTGCAAGGGCTTCACTGGCAGGACCAGCTGACCCGAAACACAACACCCAGCAGCATGAGAGACCAAGGGGTGCAGGGCCCGCCTCTTGGAATGATACACCAGGCTGAACCAAGTCCTGAAAACCTACTTGCAAGAAAGAAGAAACTGAAACATAAACTTTAAGGCTATGCTGTCCACACCCAGGTGATACTCGCTCTGAACTAGACACCAACTATTAAACCCTCACACTCTGAAAGCTCCCAAAAGTTACTACTATATTGCTGGATTGTCACTATGTCCATAAAAGAATTATAGAAAATTGCAGCTTAAATTGTTTTTAATAAATTTATTACATGAAAATATAGTTTAACATACAGAACTTAAAAAAACAAAAAACAAAAAAACTTCAAACTTCCATACAGGAAATCTGTCACTGAAAAGATTTCATCAAGTTGCATCAATAATTCCTATCCGTTGGTAAATACCATCATTTAATTATATACTTAAATATTCTGCCTTGACTCAAGCTTTTAACACAACCTATAACACTACATAACACAAGTCAATGAACTCCACAGTGTGTGAAAGGCCACTGATGGCACAGCACAGTGAGTGGGCCAGAGAGGCCAGAGAGCAGGATGGAGACACTCGGAAGGCACAGCCCTAGCCTATCCTTCTTAGCCCTTGGAGTTGTCCCTACAAACCTAGACATTTGCTACACCTGCAGAGGCCACAAAGTCAGCACTATCTAAAACAGCTGCCGCCATCATCATTTATCAAATATAATGAATAAAACTGCGACCAAGTTCATTTAAAAGAAACATTTTTAAACTTTACTTACCATCCACTCTGATATAATAACATCCACCTTTTCTACAGGAAGACTCACTTCTTCAATCTTTCCTTTAATTAGTATAATGGTATCTTCAAGTTTATTTAGTCTGAAAGTTATAATGAATTAGATCAGCCTGTTAATATTTTATTTATTGACAAACTGTATATAGAAAAATCACCATATTTTACTTAACTCAGATAAGACACTGCACAGCTAGATTAGTGTAGCCACTCCAACACTTGTCCAGTCCTGAACTATGGACCTCAGTGAACTTCTGCAGTCAGAATGGCCATTCCGAAGGCATGAAGCATCACTTAGGGTTTTACACATTTACCATCAATTAAATTTTTATGCATTTATACCATAGAAAGTGAAAGAGAGAGAAAAAAAAAAACAACTATGGAGTTCAAACTAGGGAAAAAATCATCTGAATGTCCTCTTCCACGATTCATGCCCTCTTGCCTGCGTTCTCTCTCATCACCTAACATTAGCTTCTCTTGGTTTCCTTTCTAAGTGGTACCCACACTTACACCTGTTTACATATACACACTATACATTTTAGGCTAGGATCTGCATATGAAATAGAACATGAGGTTTTTCATGAATTTGTGTCACCTAGCTTAATATATTTCTCATGCATCTTCCTGTACATTTCATGATTTAATTTTTAAGCTGAATAATATTCCATTCTGTACATGTACCACATTTCATTCTCCATTCATCTGCTGACGGGCATCTAGGCTGGTTCCATCTCCTTGCAGACAGTTGACCCGAGCAGCAATAAAAATGGATGTGCAAATATCTCTGTGGTAGGCAAATGCTTGGGTGTGAACGGCTGGGTCATTCATAGTTCTAGCTTTAGGTTTCTGAGGTCTCTCCAAACTGATTTTCTTAATGGCTGTACTAATTTGTACCCCCACCAGCAACAAATAAGGGCTTATCTTTCCCCACATCCTCTCCAGTATTTGTTGTCAGATTTCTTAATGACAGCTAGACTAGGGTGAGGTGGTATCGAAAACTAGTTTTAATTTGCATTTATTTGATGCCTGGGGATATGGGCTGGGGGTATGGACAGTTTTTAAAGTAATCACTGGTCAGTTGTGTTTCTTCTTTTGAGAACTGTTTCATCAGCCCATTTGTTGGCTGGAAGTTTTATTGCTTTGGTGTTTAGTTTCTGCATTTCTTTGTAAATTCTAGACATTAGCCCCTGCCTGAAGCACAGCTAGCAAAGCTTTTCTTCCATGCTGTGGGCTGTCTGTGTGCTTGGCTGATGGTTTCCTTTGCTATGCAAAGGCTGTTTAATTTCATGTAGTCCTGTCTGCTGACATCAGGGACTAGCTCCCATGCCATGAAAATTCTACTCAGAAAGTTCTTGCGGACCCTATTGTTCTAGTTTGTTAAACAGACTCTAGAGGCTGGTTAAATGACATGATATTTTTTTCCAGAATGCTCACACTGTTTGTTGAACAAAGAGCCTGCTTAAAGTCCCTTTGCTTGGGTATTGTAAGTGTTAGTGATGGGTGCCCCAAAACATCTCTGGTTAACAAGGCAGTAACAATGAACTAACAACAATACTTCAGCCTGAAAAGAAATCTGCATTTATGAAGAACACTCTGCTCCACGTAGTTATGGTATCTTTAGAAACAAAGAGCAAGAGTGGAAACAGCAACAAGGACACAAAGGCAAGGTTCCCAGAACTAGTGAGTGACAGCAATAAGGAAGCTGGAAGCAGGGGCCCACAACGCCCTCCCCTACTGTAGCTGCCCACTTCAGAGAATTTGCTAACCTCCCTGCCTAGTGGAAATCATGGTAAGAGACAGTGCTAGCACCCGGCCTGTTCAATGCACAGGCTCCTGGGGGAACACAAATTGGTGAACACCATGGTCACACCTCAAACATGGCACAGAATAGCAAAGTCATTACCGTGCAGAAGAACTAAGGACCTATCCCATTCACATACTATTTTCAGACCAGGCATGGTGTTATGTGTTTGTTATCACAATGCTCATGAGGCTAAGACAGGAGAATTGCCACAAGTTCAGGATTGACTTGGGCTATAAAACAACAAACAAACAAAGAAAATCAACCAACCAAACAAAACACAAAGCCACCAGAAGAAAAAGGAAATTTCTTGTAACCTTGCCCAAAAGTACTCATACTACTATGTGCTTGATGACAAGCACATATTTTTCAATCCCTCCTTTTCTGCAATTTAAGAGGATAGAATTAAAATGACCATCTCAGGAAGCAAGCTGTAGATTAAGTTGCTATCTAATTAAACCATGTTCTCAATTAGAGAACATGCATTTTAATTACATGGAAGTTTTTCCTGCGCTGAAGAGACTCGCCCTAACATCAAGGCATTACTGTACATTAAAGCATTCATTTTAAAGTATATTTTGCTGAAACACTTATACGTGGGTGACCATGATCAACAATGTGAGAAGGACTATGATTGCTAATTCTCAGAAAATCCTCTCCCTCTCCCAGGAGTCCCCCTCTTGGAGACCATCTTGAACTCACTATATAACTGAGCCTGGTCTTGAACTCCTGGCAGCTTCCTTTCTTTCACCACTTAGGAAATTTCTAGTCTGCAGACTCATACTAAGGGAATCATATGAAACACATGCTTCCCGGCCTGGCTTCTTTAGCAGGTCCGTGGGTAGGTGTGAGGATAAGAGGGCTTTCCACTTATGAGTTAGGTTCTCTGGAGGCCCCTGCTCACTTACAGTTAAATTCAAACAGTAACATCATGGCTATCTTGAAAAAAATTCTATGGAAGAAAGGATAAGCAAAGCAATAAATAGCTTACCAAAAGGGGCTGTTTAGATGACTTTAAAAAAAAACAACAACCAAAAAAAGGAAGCAAGGGTATTGCTGGGCGGTAGTGGTACACGCCTTTAATCCCAGCACTTGTGAGGTAGAAGTAGGCAGATCTCTGTGAGTTCAAGGCCAGTCTGAGCTACATAGCATGTCCCAGGACAGCCAAGACTACACAGAGAAATCCTGTCTCAAAAAAACCAACACACACGGGGAGGAGGGTGTCAAGGAGAATTATGTGGGCCCTACAAAAACTTATTAACAACCCTGCAGATACTTCAAATGAGAACGTGTAAGTATGACTGATGCCAAAACAGACTTTAGAGGATGGCCAGCAGTGCCCAGGAAGTCAGCAGGTAGGTCTATCCAGATGATTCTTGTTCTGTTTGTAGGTTCATATCCCACAGACACCTGTGAGAGCACAGGTGGAAGATAACTGTAACAGAGCAGTTACGGAGGCCTGTCTGATGGGGGAAGGGCAGAGGATAAAGCGGAATCAGGCTCTCATCCTGGGTGATAGTTACTGTATGTTTATTTTCCTCTGAGATTTTTGAATACTTATGCATTTTCCTGCTCACTTATGTTTTTGTATTTGTTTATATCTATGTTGTATTTCATGCAAAAACAAAAAAGGAAAAACTGCTCAGTTTTGAATTTCTTCAAGGAATACTTTGAAAATACTATATATATCTGCTTGCTGTTTTCTACAACACTAAGGCTCTAGCAACTATAAACACTTCATGCTTTTGAAAGGAGCAGCACCCCATCCACCCACCCACCCATGCAGCCACATCTCAGGAAGGCTGTGTGGAGACAAGGCCTGCTCTGTGAACAACTGTCTGCTTGGGCAATTTATAATCTTGCCACAACTCACCATGCTGTTAGCACCAGCAATCACCTGCTCAGATATGGATGCAGAGAAGATAATTCAAGGCTACACAGAAGAGACAAAGTTCCATTGTTCCCAGGACCCCAGGGGGATTTAGAGTGCTCCACACAGTTTTCAGCACCAGCTGACTTCTCCCATTAAGGAAAAAATCTACAGACTGAACTTAGAAACCCAAGTGCACCCCAGTCTTATTTTGAGCCTAAAAGCGTTCTAAATGAATCTCTTTAGCAAAATCTGCTGTAAAACTAGTAAAGCTTCAACGTGTGGGAATATTTCTCTGTAATAAAAAACCCTTTAAGTAGCTCTCAACTAATCCAATAAGCACCGAATTATCGATTTGTTCCAGCATGGAAACTGCACTAGAGCAAAACCCTCTCCACTTATTCCTGTCTGCAGAGCAGCAACCTCATCTACTTCATTAAGATACTGGAGGAGGTGTCAAGAGAGCTGACATACACCAGTGCCCCACGGAGAAAGTCAGAGAGGGAAGAGGACGATGATCAGCACAGGGTGCCATGGGATCTCCACGGTGGAGCTGGTGCTGGGAGAGGCCCCAGGGAGAAAAGAGCTAGTAGTATACCACATGGAAGAGGCAGGGGTCACACCAAGAGTTGAAAGGTGAGGCTGACAGTCATATTTCCTTAAGACAATGAAGAACCATTTATGTATCTTTAGAATAAGCAGTGTAGCATTAAGTTTGCTATCCACTTTTGCCCACGGTTTTAAGAAACATTTTAAGAAATATAAGAAAATACACAAGTAAAAAGCAGAGCATCAGGGGAATTCACAATCAAGTGAATAACATTTAAAAGTGGTGACAGACAGTCCTAAAATGCAGACAAGAACACAGGTGTGTCAACAAAAGTTGAAAGTGAATGACAGCAGGTGAGAATACTCTAATAGGTATAGCATTGATGAGCTTTCAGTTCAGTGAACCAAAACCACATTATTTCTTCATCTTTTGTTGCCCAAACATATTGAAATGACAATTTAAAATGTAATAATAAAAACAGAGTTTTTTTTTTTATAAGAGCATATCAGAAAACAAAAAATTCTGGTTATTTGGTGGGAGAGAAAAACCCAATCAGGCAAACCTATGCAAAACCCAGCACTCAAGTGCACAGCAGACTGGATAAAGCCATTCCTCACAACACACACCTCAGAAGTGGGCCAGGACAAGGCTACTGCTTGAGTTCTCCACTCCCAGTGCATCTGTTGGCACAAGTCACAATACAATAACTCAACCTCTACCTCAGTTAAAACAATCATCAGATTCAAGCAGATAGGAGGCTCCAGATCCGAGGAGGGCAACTTAACTGACTTTGAACCCGTGGTGTCCTAGGTGTTGAAAATTCATTAATCTACTCACTCACCAGACAGGTGTCCACAGGAGCCCCTCATGTCCCTGCCACAGAGGAGCTGGCATTCCAGGAAGTCTATGTCAGTTCTATTCAAAGTGTTGCCAAGTGCCCACCATCATTTTGTTTTGCAGGTGTTAGGGAAGAAAAGATGAGAGTCTAGAGGACACTTATATAAACAGGACAGCAGGTCAAAACAGGCCTCAGTTATTCTCTTTATTCTGTTTGTGGGGTTGGGGTCAAGCCCAGGCCTCACATATGCTAGGCAGATGCTTGGCTGCTATACACCTCCCCAGGCTTTTCTTATCTTGTTTAATACACTAGACAGAGGCAACATGAAAGACTGCACCTTCCATTTCACACTAGGGCTGAAAGTACCACACTGTGAACATGAGATAGATCAGCTTTCCCATGAAAACTCTCCAGCTACGTCAAAGTCTGAATGATGAGCTAGCCATCCATGGCTGAGTCGGGGAGAAACTAGAGAAATGGCAAAATACAACCAGCAGAGAGCTGAGAGTGAACGCAGTATGTAACTGTCTGGCGGTTGAATAGCTTTGCTACCCTCATGTAAGTTTATGTTTCTGAAATGATTACTCTCTGCACAGTTAAAACCACAATAGCAGGAAAGCAATTCTTTTCTCTTCCATGTTTTAGTTTTATTTGCTATACTAATACCTCTGAAATCCTCAGCATATTTTTCACACAGGCAACCTCAGAACAGGTGGTCACACTATTTTTACACTTTAACACAATGACTCAAATTAAATAACTAAAGTGTATCTCACTCTAAACTCAATAGAAAGAACTAAAGAAATGTTAGTAGTTTATTACTAAATGGCAGAACCTATAGTTTGAGCACTGTTGGCAAGTTACTAGTAATTAATTTGAACTAAGATTCAATACATGATTGATGATCCACTTACTGATATGGTGTATTAGATAATGTTAAAATTCTCCCACAAAAATAAATAACAGGATAAATAACAGGATGTGCTGTGACAGACAAGAACATAGTCAGAACTGCTACCGCTGGGCATCATGATCCATGTATCATGTATGGCTGAAACAGTGGATTAGGCTACACAGCTATCTAACAGTTTCAAGAAAATTAAAGTTTTAGCAAAACGTGCCTGATTTCCTCTCTGTGGCAAATGTCCACACTGTAACTTAAGCAACACCACCTAGCACAGTGAGATAAAGACTATAGAAACATCAGTATTAGAATACAACTATTGCCTCTGAAAATATCCATCTTTAAAAAAACACAAAAAACCTAAAGTGACAAGGTATTCATTCAACAAGCAGCCAGAGGCAGTGGCCTGCAACAGCACTATGAACTGTGACAGGAAGTTACTTCCTTGGCCTGGATGTCCACCTACCTCTCAGCTCCCACCACATAGATGCAAGAGAAGCATGTGCAGGGACACCACACTCTAAAATCTACTGCTTGCTTGAAATGTCACTGTCATCCTCCATGAGTGACAGGTCATGACAAAGTGTTAAGATGACCACAAAGGAAAAGAGACTAAAAAGTAGCTGCCCTGTGTACCACAGACACCTTCCTTCTGGCAGTGGTGCCAAGGCTGTGTTGCCAGCTGGTGGGGCTTTGGGGAAGTGCGTGGGTAATGAAAGCACAGCCTTCATCAATGGGTAGGTAAGTCCACCTCATGATGTCACAGGGACATGGGACTAAGGAGCAGGGACTAGCTGGAACCAAACCTTGAAGACGAGACCTTGCCCCCTGGGTTTCCCCTGACCCATACCATCAAGTGAGTTTTCCTCCATACCCTTCTACCAAAGTATTCTGTAGTCAGAAGGTTTTAGCATTATCCCACAGCAGTGTTCTGCCTCCACTCCAGCATAACAACACAAATCCAGCTGACCCTGAGCCATGACCTCTGAAACAGTGAGCTGAATTAAGCTCTCCTGCAGAACAGAGCTCATCATGGAACTGAAACCTGAACATGTACACATAAATTTGGGCTGGAGCAATGGCTCAGCAGGTAAGAGCACTGGCTGCTCTTCCAGAGGCCCTGAGTTCAGTTCTCAGCATGCACACAGTGGTTTACAACTGTCCCGGAACTACAGTTTCAGAGGCTTCAATGTCCTGTTCTGGCTTCTGCAGGCACCAGGCATGTACACGGTACACATATATACATACACACAGGCCAAACACATCCAATTTTCCTTTAAACTAAAAAAAAGTTTTAAACGTGTTTCTAAACTTGAACACTATACACTTGAGTTCTACAGTTCAGATACAATGAATGTGAACATGATCATGTATAAACATGTATCTAAAACTCTTGGGAACTGAAACAAACTATCCTTTTCCATCACTTTAATAAAACACAAAATTCAATTGAAAGCACAGGTGGTCCAGTCCTGCAGGATCAAGCTAGTGCACAAAGAAGCAGGGTATTGAACACTGGAACTTCTGGCAAAAGTGCCTTCCTATAATCTTACTACCAACAGTGAGTGTTTGTTAATTGTTCTAAAATAGCTTTTCCTTGGGATGGTGTCTCTCATGTTTGTTTGTACAAGCGACTGAGATACCTGCTAATGACCCCTAGGGTGACAGTGACTACTTAACTGTGCATCCTATAAATGAGACATAAAAACTCAAACTGCAGTTTGAGTTTACAAAACTGCAGAATGGCATACACACAGCCACAACTTCAGCTCACTTCTAGACACTCCAGAATTTACTTTGTATAATCAGGAGGAATCCAGCTGATGTCAGAGAATAAAAACGGAAGCTCAGTCTTTAATATAACTTTAATATATGTGTGTATATATGATATAACTTTAATATAACTGCTGAGTCCTAAAGAAAGTATCACTGACAGATTTGCTCTGGGGCGTCTTGAGTTAATATCATCCTATGATAGTTCCTGGTTTTATATATAATCAGTATCCTCTGGGTCAAAACAGCATAAAAACAATTCCGTAACAACTGTCAGGATGATTCGGCATGCAGTTCCAGCTCAACACAACTTAAGATTTTATTGTGCTGGTGGATTTTGCAAAAAGACAAATATCTTGACTATCTCTTACTAGACATTTACTAAAAATTAGGAAATGTGTAAGTTTTCAAGTCCAAAATTAATTATAAATTGAGTGTTAAATGTACACCTACCTTATGATATCCATAGCCTGGTAGAGGATTTCAGACTGATCAACTGCAATCACTTTCTTTGCCCCAGCTTTGGCAGCAAACATGGAGAGAATTCCAGTTCCACACCCAACGTCCAGAACAACCTGGAAAATAAAACAGCTACTACTGAGGACGGCCTCTATTTCCACCTGCACAAAATGTGAGAGTATTTGGGGACAGGAATATCTTTTGATTAAAAAGTTTAACTTTATTGATCAAACATGGTGATTTCTATGTGCAGAAACAACATATTATGGGTTATTTTAATTTATGCGTTATTAATAATGGTGCAGTTGGCCACCGTCTTCCACAATTAGGCCAATAGTGCTAAATTAAAAGACATTTTGCACAAACTGAGTAACTCCATTGCCAATGTAAAGGTGCTTTACCCTGCTAATTGCTAGAGTCTAACTGAGGCTCAGTGATTGTAAATTTGGGTAGAAACAAGCTTTTCAAGTTTGAGCAAAAGGAATTAAAGTAGATCCCATACAATTTAGAAATAGTTACAAAGGCAAAAGGGCACAATGGACATGAGGGAGGTGACCAGAAGGGCGGGCCAGGGACATGAGTGGGGAGGGAATCTGCCAAACACTTTGCTTGAGAATGTCACAGTAGTATCTAATGCCTTCTATGCTAACCTAAGAAATACCTGGAGTAAACTGCCAGGCTTTAGATCTTTTATTGTCAGTGACATGACCGCAATGCTATAAATTTGTCCCAAATAAGTACCATTCCAAGGCCCATCCACTTTAAGCGCCAGGTTCTGATCTTGGTAAAGAGTTCACCAAGCAAGCCAAAACCCTATCTTTGTAGTTTTGAGACTGGATGTTACTGTAGCACAGCCTGACCTTGAACTTGCAATTCTCCTGCCTCAGTCTCCTAAATGCTGGGATTATAGGAGTGTATAACCATGCCTAGCTCCCCAAGTCTTTCTCTTAATACAATTGTTTTAGAGAAATGAACAATATGAATAAAAGAATATAAAATAATGCCAAGCAGTGATGTAATACAAGCTGGAATAAATATTAGAGCATGGGGAAAGGGATATACTCTTTTTAAGTTTTAAACAGGTTGGAGAACACCTCTGATTCATATGATTAGAGAACCAAGCCTTAACAGGACTGTGTTATACAAAGATCTGGGTACATAACTGCTATGGAATAATCTTTTTGTACCCTGTGAAGATGTGTCTTTACCAAGGCACCTTCTGATCCATTTCACAAAAGGCTAAGTGTCCAATAGCTAGGCAGGTAGAGGTTAGGCGGGACTTGTGGACAAAGAGAGAATGCAAGGAAAAAGAGGGCGGAGACGCCAGCCAAACACAGAGAAAGCAGATGAACATGCTGAAAAATGGTAGAGTGTAGATAAGAAATATGGGTTAAGTTTTAAGAGCTAGTTAGTAACAAGACTAAGCTATTGGCTGAGCAACTATAATTAATAATAAGTCTCTGTGTGGTTATTTGGGGAGTCGGTGGTCATGACAAAAAACCCTGCCTACACATAACCAAGGTGACATCCACAGGGCCAGTCTACTATGAGGTAAGACTATGGAACAAACACCCAAGACGTGTACCAATAGGACAAGCACAGATAGTATCCTCTGTATTTATATGTGAACTATATAAGAATATATTGTTTCTCATTCTTTCTAATTGAGTTGCTAACTTTCTTCTTTCCAATGTAACCTTACATCAGAGTTCTGAGGAATGGGGATGTAGTTCAGTGGGAGAGTGTGCACACACCCAGCACAGGGTTGAATTTCTTGCAACAGAAATAAAACAAGCAATCCTTTAAAGTTAAGAGATTATTTATAATGTGACTCAGCTGCTGTGGAACACCTTCCCTGAGGGATAGAAATGATATCTAACCCCTCCTTGAGGGTACCAAGACAAACCATGGCTCAGAAGTCCAACTTGGAAAGCCAGTGAGTTGATGGGGCTTACTTAAAATTTCCCCACAGCTACACAGCTGGAGTCCCCCTTCAGCTAATCTTCTTCCCTCTACATACTCTAGTACCTCTCCAGACCATGGCAAGACAATGCAGGAAGGGGAGGCTGGAATCTCAGTGAGGGCCCAATGACCCTCTGGACCTCTTCCTCCCATGGGGCAACATCAGCAATCTCTAAGAATTTTTTTTTAATACCATTGAAAACTAAATAATTCTGTCAAGTTCCAAATAAAATACACCAAAACAGGGGCTGGAGAGATGGCTCAGCAGTTAAGAGCACTGACTGCTCTTCCAAAGGTCCTGAGTTCAATTCCCAGCAACCACATGGTGGCTCACAACCATCTATAACGAGATCTGGTGCCCTCTTCTGGCCCACAGTCATACATGCTTTATACACAATAAATAAATAAATCTTAAAAAAAAAAAAATACACCAAAACAGAGAGAAAGCAGTAGAGCACATAGTACAAATGTACATTGTGGCTACATGCAGCATGACAGTGGTGTGGCAAAAGCTCCCCAAAAAGTTCATTTTTGTGGCAAGGACAGAATCCATAGCATCTCCCAAAATGCGCATTAAAATACAATTTGTAGAATTAGAAATAAAAGGTTGGAAAGGGCCTGAGAAGCTTGATCATATGCTGCACTGGCAAAGGTGTCTAAGGACACTGGATATATAAACAATTATAATGTATCAGGGAAAGATAGTCCACACTGCTAATCATTCGGGAAATGCACTTCTGAATTATAAGAACCTCTCAGACACGTTAGCTACAAGACAGAAAACAAACTAAAGTTAGCAAGGACTCAGAAGCCTTGTGCATGGCTGGGAATGGAAGAGAAAAAACCCACTTTAAAAAACTATGTGGCAGCCTTTAAGACAATTCCACTTCTGGGCACATCTCCAAATAAAGAGGGTAGGTTCTCAGAGGGCATCTCAACACCCATGTTAACAGCAACAATATCCACAACAGAGAGCAGTATGGAAGTAACCTGACCACCCATGGACTGATGGATGGATACCAGGGCATATAAGTGTCATCAGTTTACCCAGCCTTAAAAAGGAAAGTAATTCTGAGATACGCTCCAATATGAAGTCTTTGGAGCCACTGTTATGTGAGAGAGAGAGCACATGATTCTACTTACATAAGACGCTTAGAATAGTCACAGCAGTAAGTAAGAAAAATAGTGATGTACAGGAGCCGAAGGGAGGGGAAGTGGGAAGTCAGCAATGTACAGTTTCAGCTTTGTAAGATGAACACAGCTCTAGAGATGATGGGGTGATGGGCCACAGCATTTGGACTGTACTGAATACCACTCAACTGTATACTTAAAATGACTAAGACAGAAAAATTTGTCTATTGTTTAATCACACTGGAAAACGGGAGAAGAAATATTAATAAGGGATAATTTCTATAAAGAATAATTGCACAAAAAGATTTAGGACATACACGCATAGTTCAATTAAGAATGTGTTTCCAAGCTGGAGAGAGAGTTTGGTGGTAAGAGTGATTGCTAGGCAAACATGAGGACTGGAGTTCAGATTCCAGCACCCACGCAACAAGCCCTGTATTGCAGCCATGCCTGCAACCACCTCTCTGAGTGGGGAAAAGACTGGAGGATTTCTGGGGCTTGCTGGCTTCCATCCTAGCCAATAAAATGGGAGCCCCAGGGAATGTGACTCAGGGGACTGCGGTGAGGGGGACATGATACAGGAAGATACTTAATGCCCTCTACTGGCCTTGGGGCCTGTGCTAACAGGGACATACCACACAGATCACACACACACACACACACACACACACACACACACACACACACACACACACACACACACACGCTCTCTTATTTAATCCTCATTTTTCAAACGATCAAAGTAAATTCCAAAGAGGAAGAAGCAGGTCCAGGACCCCACAGCTGGTGAACCATGGTGACTGGCTTCTAATACAGGTCAAGTTGCTTCCAGAGCCTAATTATACTCTCCACTGAACTTTAGTAGTTAATTACATCTAGCTGATAACTGAGTGATCAGACAGGCAAAACTTGACTCAGGAAAAGTAGTAAAAATAACAAAATAAGTTGGTGCTACTATATAAAATGATAAAAGAAGTTGATTTCCTTTTTTTCTAAAATAAATAAATAAAGAGAATTAACAAACCTTAACTGTAGACAGAAGCCAGCAACATAAAAAAGGCACCTGACTGGGAATTTCTTCAATGGACTCCAAACAAATTAATTATGAGCATGGGAGAGGATGATTAAATGTCACCCAAAGTTAAATTAATTGAGCTACCATATGGTCTCCACAGGAATTTTGAGAATTGAAACAATATTAAGGAAGGAGAGAAGATAGGGAGGGAACGGAAAAGAAGACCATTTTTAATTACAGCCACCCTAAAAAACAACAACCGTGCCCTGTGTGCTTGTGAAGATGAGGTGCCACAGGATGCTGTGGACGTCAGAGGACAACCTGGGGTGCCATCCTTGCCTTCTGCAGTTTGGAACAACGTCTCTGTTATCGACTGCTGTGTGCCCCAGGCAAGCTGTCCAGAGCTCCTGGGAGTCTCCTGACACTGCCTCCCTTTGCCCAAGGGGCTCTTGGGTTACAGACCTGCTACTGCATCTAGCTTTATGTGGGCTATGGAGATACAAACTCACTGGGCCCTCATGCTTGCATGTATAACCACTAAACCATCCCCGTCCCCTAACAACACTTGGAGAAACACATCTCTACTATGCACTGTACAGTTATAGAAGCCAGTGCTGTAACATGAAGTTTACTTAATACATAAAAGGGAAAACATTGTAATAAAATGCAGGAAAAAAATGAACTTCATGGACTTTTAAAACAACGACATATAAATACATAAAAGAGGAAACATAGTAATAAAATGCAGGAAAAAGGGGACTTTTAAAACCACACATAAAAACTTACATGACCATGCCACACAGCAACAACCACATACGTACTTGTCTTAATAGCCACACTGTAACTAACAAGTCCCACCCTAACTACCATCCCTTTTACACTGACACACTGCTTCTCAGTGCCAAGAATTAGGCTTGTAAGCACTACACTAGAACACAAAGCCTAGGGTTTTTTTTTCAGTTCTGTGGTTTGAAGACATCAATTAACCTCCCAGTTTGAAAGTAAACTTAAGACAAACCACAGGTAAAGCAGACAAATGCCATCTAGTTCCATGGTGTTACACAATGACCTATGCATTATCAGATGCACTTAAATACACGGTACTGCATCCTCTACAGCCACAGCCACAGCCACAGCCCAAGGGGAGATAAAAGCTGTAGGCTATTTAATATCCTTCATCACAAAAACGTGTGTTCTTAACGTGCTTTAAGAAGCTTAAATAATTCACGTTACAGTGACTTTTGAGAAGCCACAAATGCCAAGCAAAATTCATCACACTGATAAAGTTAATGGCTAACACCTCGGGCAAAGCAGCAAGGAGGTGCTCACACTAGCCTGCCATTCCTTCCCCGGGCAGGCTCTCTCAATAAGAGAAGTGGAAGATCACAAACCGACTCCACAGTTTGTCATGGTTTGTTGATGAGGCAAAAGTACCATGTTTTATTTACTTGATTGTTGTTCTGTGTGTGTGTGTGCATATGTGCATGCACATGTGTGTCCAGATGTACATTTACATGTATGTATGTTTGTACATAGAGGCCAGAGATTGACTTGGGGTGCCTTACTCTACCAATCTTCACCACTTGAGCCCAGAGCCAATGACTCAGCTTTTCTAGCTAGCCAGCTTGCTGCAGGAAACCCATCTGTGCCTCCACTGCACCTGATCACAGCACTTGGTAATTACAAGGATGCTAGGAATGTGAACTTGCTTGTGTGGCGAGTGCTTTAGCACTGATCCATAGCCCTAGTACAGACACACACAAATACACACACACATACATACACACACACAAATACACACACACACACACACACATACATACACACACACAAATACACACACATACACACACACACATACATACACACACACATACATACACACACACAAACATGAACATACATACACACACACAATCATACACACACAAACATACACACACACACACACACAGCACTGCAACAAAGAAACTATGAGCAAAAGTCACTGTGTACAGGTTCATGAACTTAGTAAGAACTTTTCCTAGTCACAAAAAACTTATTTCAAAAGACTAAATCCTCTAGTAACTATTTGATCCCTTCTACTCCAGAGTGCATGAGAGAACAACTTCTAAATCACCGCCTCAATTCCTACAGCACTCACATCACAAAGCAATGAGAAGATGCCTCAAAGACAGGAGAGCGCTCTGACAACAGCATCGTCAATGAGAAAGGACCTGAAAACTCAGTCTGCAGGTGAGGCACACAGCAATTCCCCACGTGCCCGGATCTTATAGCTGGCTCATGCCTGGCTAGATAAGGACTGCTTCATTTCTACACAGTTTACTAGGTTAAGAATAAAGTAAAGGAGACACTGCAGCCGCCGCCATGACCAGCAGCATGTGAAGATGCCGGCTGAAAACCACACAACGTGTGGCCTCAATATTGAGATAAAGCACAAACACAAGACTATTGTGAGACAGACACGGTGGAGACAAGCAGACGCAGGTAGGCCTGCGGCGGCGGCCCGTTGAGGTAGACGGGCCCAGCGGCGGCAGCCGACAGGGACATTCAGGCCCAGCGGCACAGAGGTAGACAGACACGGTGGTGGAGACAAGCAGACGCAGGTAGGCCTGCGGCGGCGGCCCGTTGAGGTAGACGGCCCAGCAGCGGCAGCCGACAGGGACATTCAGGCCCGGTGGTGACCCCCTGAGGCAGACAGACCCAGCGGCAGCTGACAGGGACATACAGGCCCAGCGTCGGACCGCAGAGGTAGACAGGCCCAGGGACGGAGACAAGCAGACGCAGCTTGGAACAGGGACGCCCCTAACCCCAACATCTGGGGAAAAAGCTATCTCCGTGGGTCAGAACCAGAACGAATCTGAACACTCC